GTACTAAGATAGAGATTATGGCAACAAATGAATAGAAGTACAGTATTAATGCAGCAGCAAGATCAATAGCGCTAGCCATTAATTCCTCATAGAAAACAAGAGCGAGCACTCCTGAAAGCTGTCTAAGGACACGGGACTATGGAAACACAGATGCACTTTTCCTGCCATGATTTCGCGGGCTATCATTTGATTCGCCAAATTGTGAAACTGAAAGCCCGGGAAACCGTCGCGGGAAATAATGGCAGGTCTTGTTTCCATAGTCCCGTATCCTTAGACAGCTTACAGGAGTGCTCGCTCTTGTTTTCTATGAGGAATTAATGGCTAGCGCTATTGATCTTGCTGCTGCATTAATACTGTGCTTTTCTTTATTTGTTGCCATATTCTCTATTTTAGTACTTGGTAAGCAAAAGTTTTTGCTAAAACAAGTTACTTTCTCTTCTTGTACAGCTGTACTGATACTTCACTCTATCTTTTGCAATCTCATTGCTGTAGTGAGGATTTATAAAGTGAGCTACTTGCTTTTATTGTTAAAATGATTATTATTTTCTTTTAGAATAACATGATTAGACTACTGAGGAAGAAGAACACAGGGAGGAGGGTAGAACCAGATGAGCCTAAGAACTCACTTCCTCAGATTGGTCCTCAGTCAAGGATGACTGAAGCAGCAATGTCTTCAGGCTTTCACTCACCATCCCAGCTCCTTGCTAGATCCGATACTCATCAGATGCAAGTGCCTCGTGAAGTACTTTCCGGCTCTCCCTTGCAGCAAGGAGGAGTTCGTCCAGTCCATCAGGGTCTGGTTTTTAATGGGCACCCAAGAAGAGTGTTGCCATCTATTGATCTCTCTCAAGAAAGAGGTGATCCCGGTAAACTCGAAGTATCAGCAGTTGTCATGGCAAATGATCGCTTTAAATATGCCGGCTCTCGATCCATATGTGACCGCTACTCTCTGAATATTTGTAACAGGAACTACAGACTACCTTCTATCACTCAATCTCTTCCTACAAGGAACTATTCTCCTCCAGTTCCTGAATACATTCCTTTCCCTAATCAATCTTCAGTGCTTCCTCCCATCATTGAAAATACGGTTGACAATGATGAAGAGCAAGAGCTCGAGGACGAGGAAATAGAAGAGGATCAAGATGAGTCCGTACAAGAGAGCAACTCCATGAGCTGCCAAGAAGAAGAAGAAGACAATGCTCCAGAATCGGAGAATCCTGATGAATACGTGTACATTGTAAAGGAAACTGGATTCTCTAGAGCAGTTATGAAAGTGAAGAGGTCTGAGCTGCAGAGTAGAGAGAATGAGTCCTTGAATAATGCTATAGATGGGAGTGAGCTACTACCGGAATATGCTGCCACACCGGCTTCACCTTGTCCAGCTCGTCCCCGTTCATCAATAGTTCGTAACAATAAGAGTTGTAGTAAGAGACGCAAGTATCGTTGCTCTGTACGACCGTCACTACCAACCATCCCAGAGGATGAGGTAGTGCATCATGTATCAGCACATCCAGTGAGACGTGCAACGATTGATACCATATCAGAAGAGGAGGAGGAGGAGGAGGAGATGCTAGAGGTGTACAATGAACTGGAGAATATATTGGATTTATATGAGAACCTCGTGGATGATGATAACTATGAAGAAGATGAGGATGATATGGAGATCAAAGACTGTGAATCAGACGAACAAAAGAGCGATGAAGAATTATCGAGTGAGGGTGAGTCTTCAAGTGAATCATTGAGCGATGAAGAGTCCTCATTGACAGAAGAAGAGGAAGAGTACATTACTGCTAATGAGGAGAATGAAGAGGCTGACATTGAACGAAAGAACAAAAATGACACTGTTCCCTTCAGCATAGAAGCAGATCTGATAGCTATCAATGAACAAGTGGAAGAGGAACAATCAATCATTACCAATGAAGAAGATGTTGATGAAACAGATGATACTAGCTTACTTGAGTCAGAGGCTCATGACATATCAAACAAGATTGAGAGCTTACTGGAATCCATTGTAGGCTGTCTAGTAGATACCAGTAATGATGAGAAATGTACGAGTGATGCTACTGAGATAGACAATGACTCTAAGACTGAAGAGGAGGGTGTTTATATTGCTGTTAGGATGGAAGAGTACAATGGAGGAGATGATTACACTACAGAAGAGAATAACGAGGAGAATGACCACGAGAAACAAGAAATAGACAAAATGATTGACGATGAGAAAATGATTGAAGTAAAGCAGTTCATAGAAAGGGATGACAATGAGGAAAGCATTGAATACAGTTTGGTGCTACTGAATGACGATAGTAACATTTCAGTAATCATTAATAACACTGCATCTGAGTCTGAAATTGAAGAAATCGAATTGATAGATGTGTCTTTAGAGCACAATGATACATTCGACGCTACAAAAGAAGATAATGAAGAGATGAATGATGACGATGATGATGATACAAGTCTAAAAACAGAAGTGTTATCCTGTGGTCCAGTTACTAGAGATAATGAAGACACTCGTACTAATATAAAGGAAAGAGGGAGACGCCGTAAGATCTCACTCAAGCCAGTGCGACGTTTACTGTCTAAAATCAAAAAGAGAATGAAGTCCTTATTCAAATCTGCTTAGCAAACAATGACAATTACTACTGTATAATAATGACACATTTGTGCATACACATAATTAATATTACTTAATAATGCTGCTCAATCAATTACAATAAAATTATTCTAAAATTTAATTCAATTTTATTTACGAATATCGAACCCAGCCCCAATAACAATCGGTTCAGGAAAAAACTAAAATTATGTTCAAAAAGTTTACATCAATAACCACAACTAAAAAAAATCAAGCTAAATACAGCAAAAAGCGCTAAAAAACAAAATGACTACAGTTCAATAAAACAAAACAAATTATTGTTGTGTTTCTGAGTAAATTGGCATTGAGAGGTTTAGAAATTCTCTTTGTTGTAGTAAAAACGAGCTCCAGCGGATCCGCCTTTCTTGGTAAAAGCGTTACACTGCTTGTGTAGATTATGTGACAGAACTGATGGGCCACAGAAAAATACACCAACATCAGTACTAGACAATGAAGAAAAGGCAATTATCACATTTATAATGGAAAATGAACTTTTTACATTTATATTAATGCTAGTATTATGCTATTAAAAATTAAAATTTACAATTATTTTATTAGCACACATCTAATTATAGTTTTGAATTTTTTTACAAATTTATTACGAGCGTATACCGCATATAATTATAGTTTACTTTGGATGAGCAAGTGCAACTTTTTCAAATATTTTCTCCCATTCAGGCCGCCCAAATGTAGTCTCCGCTCTAAGGCCAGTGATAGCATCCACCATGTCATCAGTAGCATGTTCGGCCGTCACTCTACCTTCGTTTAACATCAAATAGAATGCCTAATTACGATAATGCATTTTAAAATAAACAAGCAAAAATTAAATCATTATTAAAGCAATAGTATTGCATCTATAGTATTTTCACTTGTTGTGTAGAAATTTTGAACTAATTTTGATTTTTAAAGGAATTAATAAAATGGCTAGTAGAAAATTTTTAATTTTCAAAAATTTTTTTGTAAAAATTTTGAACTGGTTAAAAAATTGGGCAAATGAATTGGCCAAATTTTGTCAAAAATGCCTAGGTGAAAATTTTTAATTTTAATAATTTTTTCTAATATGGATACATGTTTTTATGCTGTTTCTAAATTTATAGCCGATTTTGATCAAAATTAGATTTTTTATGAATATTTAAAGTTGCTCAAAAATCGGACAAAAGTCCCTGTACTATAGTACAGGGTCTTTGGTCAAATTTCGTCAAAAATGTCTAGGTAAAATTTTTCATTTTAATAATTTTTTCTGATATGGATACATGTTCTTATGTTGTTTCTAAATTTTCAGCTAATTTCGATCAAAATTAAATTTTTTACAAATATCTAAAGTTGCTCAAAAATCTGACAAAAGTTCCTGTACTATAGCACAGGGTCTTTGGCCAAATTTTGTCAAAAATGGCTAAGTGAAAACTTTACATTTTCTAATACATAATAAAGTTATAAAAACATAAAGTGAATAGTGCATATGCGAGCATATTAAAGGGCCTCACTTGATTGTCCTTCCATCCTCTAGTCAAATAGATCCAACTGGTCAGGAAGTCATCAATCCCTTTATCAATGAGCTGCTGCTCAAGCTCTTGGAAGAGATTAGCAAACCATTCGAAGGCGTAAGTCTCGGGACAAATCCAAACAAAGTACAACTTCTTCAAGACGAGCCCGCTACCCTCCTCTGTTATACGGTAATAGAGAGACTTGAGAACAGAAGCAAACGGGGTCACACCAATACCGGCACCAACAAGCAAGGCTACAGGGTGCTCAAAGGCATCCTTGGAGACATAGGGAGAGAGGGGGGAACAGGGTGAAGGTGAAATAATTTTTATAAGTCAAAGGGAGGGGGAGGGTAAAACAAAGAGGTTGAGAAAGTGGGAGTGAAATTGTAAGGAATTTACTATGCATGAAATGACTAACATACCTCGCTAGCTGTGCCAAATGGGCCATCAATATAAATACTGGAATAAGAGATACCAGTGAGTGGATAATCAATTGTAATGTATGGAGTTACCTTGGGAGCTCCCAGGACTGCTGGAAATCATTACGATTCATTCCAAGCTTGTCAGCTATTCCTCCTATTATTGTAAAATACAATATATACTTAGTTTTCAGTGACAATAAATATTATATTAACAGTATAGCAAATGTGTAATAGCAATAGTGAGATACCGACTTTTATCTATCAAGGAAGAGGGACAAATCCACTCTCTCAAAGAGACCATTCAATTTACAATTAAATAAACATTATCTTATAGTCTTGTAAGGCTTTCTTATTTACTACGATCATAATAAGTCTTCATGGACTATCTCCTATTTGTTATCATACATGATAGAGTACTATAGCAACTTCTCTTATAGGGAAATAAATTTTCAATAATTATGTTCACATAGTTAAGAAGCTACATGTACATGTACATGCACTGCATGAGTGTTATGTGCGTAACTGACTCGTCCAGTCTCCAAGTATTCTAATGTGAACGCTGAAGTAGTCCTCCTCGGGAGCTGATGTCAGTGTGAAAGGATGCCACTCAAACCATGCAACGGAAGGACAGTTGACAAACACGTACTAGAAAAAGAATAAACTTAAACTGTGTACATAATATGTAAGCAGTTGATTTTGTAGTTGTATATGGAGTTACATAAACCTTTAAAATTCCAATGTATCATAAGTATGGTATGATTGATATTTGATAAGAGTAGACTGTTTTTCTGGCCAAAAGTGGAATGTGTGTTTTATAATTCTCATAACACTGCGAAGAATGGTTCAAATTTCATGCTACAGTTACATGTAGTTATATAACAAATGGTGGTGAGTGTGAGTGCTATTACTATACCTGGCCTGCTTCAGCATGAAATCCTTTCCTTCTCATTTGTATCTCGATAGTATTGGAAGGATGTTGCACAACCTAAGCATATTATGATAGCAATAAAGTATACTCCTCCTTTCTCCTCCTCTCCTGATATAGTTACCTTAATGATGACAACAGAGTAGAATCCTCTCACAACTCTCAGAATACGCTCAAGGCCGTAAATCAGTAAACCGCATAAGAGGAACATCCATGACTGAACAGAAAGGAAAAATACAAAATTAAACAGAAGAAACATCACAGTGCATCAATGCATTATCAGGACATGTTTGTGATACTTTAAACAATAAACTTTGCCTCATGAATTCAATAACATTAATTTAATGTATTTTCAGCATAGTCTATTGTGGATGTGTAATAGTTAGGTACACTCACGGTGGGACCGGCAGGAGCAAAATTGAGATTAGTACAAAACCTTGTGTAATTTTCCGAGCTAGTAGGAGCATATGCACACACACCTAGACCAACATCTTGAAGCTGACTGGCTGAACGAAACACAGGGAGCAAACGACTGTAAAAAAGAAACAGCAATCATAGAGCATGACATCATCATCATCTTTATACTAATTGTCATAATGTTATTATTGATCCATTGTACGTGTACAATATGACGTACCCATACTGATGTATGCCAAGACCAACCAAGAACACAATGAACAACTGATGAGTGTACCAGAATACTTCAAAGAATGAACGCCTGACAAGAAATATATTTTATTAATCTACATGTACATGTACATGCATACCTAATGTACGTAACGGATGATGTTATCATTAGAAATAAAACCAGAGTAATAATGTGACCTGTTACTCCGGCATCTAAAGGAAAAGAAAAGAGAAAGAAAGAGAAGAAAAAGTTAGTGAGAGATGTGTGTTTGTGTGTGTGTGTGTGTGACTGTGTGCCAATAAGGAAATGTTAAATATTATTTACATAAAATAAACCGAAAGCTATAAACCAATACTGTGAACTTACATGTGATAAAGCAAGCATGGATAGGATTCAATTGCTAGATAAAGGAGAATAAAAATGCAAAAATAAATACAAGAAAACACACACACAAAACTGACTGCAATAATTGCAACTAGTTATACTTACTCCTACTGAGCCATTAAAAGGGAGTGCTTGAGTAGGTATAGATGTTGCTTGGTCTCCAGGAGGGAGGCTATTAGGAGGAGAGTACCTCGCTAATCTTTCATAGTTATAATAATGAGCAACGACATGCATGGTACTGGATACAACCAGCATCCATGCAATGGCTTTGTGAAAGGTCAGGTTCTTGTCCAATACTCTCCTGATGCTACGGGGAACCACCTAAAAGAGAGGGAGAGGGAGAGAGAGAGAGAGAGAGAGAGAGAGAGTCAAGATGATAAAAGATAAAGGAAGAGTGAAAGAATGGGCAATGTGAAATATGCTGTGCAAAAATTTTGTAAAACAGTGAAGATGATAAAAGATAAAGGAAGAGTGAAAGAATGGGCAATGTGAAATATGTTGTGCAAAAATTTTGTAAAACAGTGAAACCAAAACCATTTATATTGACCTACCCTAGTACATCCTCTAATGACGGATATGATGTTCCTACAGACTGGCAACAGGATCAGTATCACATTGAAATTAATTGGCAAAGCAGGACCTCGGGCAAAAGCCAATGCTTCCTAAATAACATAAAATAAAATAAAATAAATAAATAAACACAATGTTGATGTCCAACTAGTTATTAATATTAATAATAATAAAACTATTTGTATTGTGTTACATAGCAATTATAGCATGTCCTCCCTTTCCTCTTTCAAGACTTGTTTATATGATACTATTGACATGTTAATGGTGTCTATTACAAGAGATAGTGGCAATAGCCACAACAGCCCTGACCATTATAGCACCTATTAGGCTTATGCTAATGAAATCATGATCAAGGCGTGTCCTTATGCGTTTGTATGTATAGTCTAAACGTTGCTATAGGATTAGTGTATTTAAAAGGACTTCAATGTGAGCCAGTTTCCTGAGAGATAACCACATGGAGCCAAAGCCACAAAAGGCCATAGTAAATAGAAAAACCAACAAATAAGGATTGATAAAGACACAAAAACAAACCCTTGTATGTTTTGAGAAGCATATATGCGCATAGCAGTGGATGCATACCTTGTTAGATCTGTATTGCTATTATTTTCATGAGTGAGTAGGTAGAATGCTAATAAGGTATTAGGAGGCAGCTATCAATACTGTATTGTGTATTGTGTGTTCATGTAGCTATCTAGACTGTACCTTTAGGTAGAACCGCATATAAAATTGTGTATTGGATGTCTGGAAGAGGTTAAACTGATAGATAAAAAGAACGATGTTGAGGAGAAACCATGTCCCCTGTAAAGAAAAGAGAGTGAGAGAGAGAGGGGGGGGAGGAAGATTGGTGATGGTTGCTGGGATGAGTTGGATAAAAGACTCACGAATACGAGCCACTTTGGAAACTCGTTGATTATCCAACCAGAGGGTAGTAGCGACATTCTTTCAGGGAGAAAGACACGGACGCGAGAATCTCTTCAAATAAACTGACTCCTAGTCCAAGCCCTTGTTGTCTATCTCTGCACTGAGTAAGCTTTGACGCCCACTAAAAGCGTGGGTGTTAAATTACAAGCCCCGCCTAAGACTGGGCGTGCCTATTAGGAGGAGCTAGCTGCTCTGGGAAAAGGAACGTCAGAACAACATGTCTTTATCCACGAGAAGAGTTGGCTCCAGTCTTGTAGTCCTCGGGCACAAACTGTACAAATGGAGAGGAGACACGGCATTCACTTCAAAATCGGAGCCTGAAAGCACTATCGAGGTATTTGATTTTACGACTGGAGAATGGCGCACCTTTGAAACTTCCCCAGAGTCAGAGGGAGGAGGAGTCTGGGAAGAGTTTGATTGTGGGAGCATAGACATGCCTGAGTCTGTCACAGGGTGTTCAATGGCCGGAGTAGGAGAAAGCACGCTCTACCTGTTTGGTGGGTTTGGTACAATGGAGAAAGAGGTGTACTATAGAGGGCTGTTCAGGCTCGACGTCAACACTTGGAAGTGGAAGAGACTTGAGCCAATCAACGATTACGACGGGCCAATGGCAAAGTATCTAGCTGGTATGGTAACGCTGGACGATAGTCGAGGATTGCTACTCATATTTGGTGGGTTTGGGGTGATGAACAAGGCTCAGCAGCGCCAGAGAGGAGCCAATTACTTGTGGAGTCAAGAGTTCAATGCCGTATGGACTAATGAGCTCCATATATTCGACACCAGAGAGTCAGTGTGGAGAGGGATTGAAACGACCGGAATGAAACCTCCTCCGTGTGCAGCTGCCTCTTTCACAAGGATAGATAGACACAGGATAGCATTGTTTGGTGGTAGGCAGCAAAAGGAGAGAGTGAATGAGTTACATATACTTGATACTTCATCCTGGCATTGGTCTGGCCCTATCATCCAACCGTCGCCTGATAAGCCATGGCCTTCTCCTCGCTCACTCCACACAGCTGTCTCTCTTCTTGATCCCTTCTATGTACAGCCTCCTTCCCTAGCTTCTTCCATTGAGAACAATACTAATCCAAGCGATGCACTGTTTACCAAGCAAAACCTTCTCGTCCTTTGGGGCCAGGATACTAATGGAGACCAGCTCTCGCATGCGTGGCTCCTCGACACGGAAACACTGTCTTGGAATATGTATCGTAGAGTGTTGCCTTGCCAGGGGCGAAAGTGGCACAGCAGTGCTGCTTATTATCCTAGTCCTTACGAGGCCGTCGTTGTCACAACTGGAGGATTCAATCGGAGCGAGATGATGCTGTTTCTTGATCCAAAGAATCCCAATCCGGACACTTTTTATTTCAAAACCGGAGTCTGTTCACTCTATCAGCTTTGTCTCCAGTGTATCAGTTCTATTGATGATGGTAGTGTTGGTGGTAAGGAGAAATATACAAAGGTGCTCTTCTGTCTACCCAAGCATATACAAAGACATCTTCATGAATTCAAAGTCACCGAAAAGCAAAATCAACTCATCCAACTGGTCGATCATGGTTCAAAGTTTTGTTTAGAAAAATAGTCAGTTTTTCACTTTTTTGTACAGCATAAAAAAATTTTTTTACAAAAACTTATAAATTACCTCATCAGTTTTGTATAAACACACACTCAAGAATTCATTTTCAATCAGAGTTAATAGCATTGTATTGGCGATGATTCTTCCTTCTCCTGTAGTACCAAACACCAGCAGCTGCACTGAGAGTAACAATGACAATAACAACAATGAGACTTGCAAACCCAGTTACTAGACCGATAGCTGTAAGATAAATAAAATAATGTTTATACTACTGAGTAGCCTCAATAGAATTAGACTTTAGAATTATAAAAAATTGAGTCTTTGTTGCTTACTATAATGGGTCTTGTTCTCTTCATCATGGCCTGAAACTACTGCTTCCTCCAAGGGAACATCTTCAGTGGATTGAGGATAATAAATCTTTGGTAGGCCATTATTGATGTTAACTTGGAATTGTCCGTTATTGACAACCACTGTATCTGATGTATCCAATTGATTTACTAATTCTATATAAAAACATCACATTATGTCCAGTGTTGTTTGTCTACACATTCATGTACATAATGAACACGGGCTAGGAATTATGTCAAAGCCTTTTATGAACTTACTGGTTCCGTCAGAGTAAGGATGGTATGTAATAGTACGAGTAAATGACTGGCCACTACCAAGATTAGTGGTAGCAACCAGTACATTACCACGAGAGAAAGCAAAGAACTGGTCATCAACGTATCTCTCAATCTGCTGAGCATTGTAGAGCTGAGAGCCTAGGCTATTACGGAACTTTGCCATTATCGATATTGCTTTATACAGGGGATGGTCTGTGTTGTAATGCGGCCACAGTGATTCTCTGTTGTTGGGATCCTTGGGACCATTGAAACCTTGTTCAGTACCATAATAGATTATTGGAATAGACTATGCATAAACATATTAACATTTAAATCATTTAGCATTAACTGCCTTACTTCAGCAAATATGTTATATGCCAATGCATTCTGTAGTGTATTCCAATCAGAGTTTTGGCTTAGGAATCTAGGATTGTCGTGATTATCCAGAAATCCACCAAGAACACTTGAATCACTGAACTTCTGATTCTAAAATAATTAAAAAGGCATAAAATTATTATAAGGTCTAAAAGCACTGTAACTGTATCACTTACAGCTTGCACTCCATCATGAATGTTTCTCATTGTCTGCTTCTGTTGAAAGGCATTGGATAGCTTATAGTACATTGGATAGCTCAAAACTGAGTTAAGTGGTCCTTGGTACTGTGACACATAGTTAGGGTCTCCATTGAACACCTCACCAATGCTAAAAACACCAGCTGAGCCAGAATATTCACTCCAAAAATCTTTTGGAACCTATAACAAAAAATGCATTTCATATTCAATAAATAATTTTAGTCTACCTCAGGTGTAGTGTCAATTCTGATACCATCAAATCCATACTTCTGAATAGTGCTCTGTACCCAATTCTTAAGAGTTGAACGAACAAAACTGTTACTTTGATCCAAGTCGGGCAAATTTGCTAAACGGCAAACCTCAACCTAAAAACAATACTATATAAGGTACACTGTTTTAAGAGTAAAAGGTGACTTTCAATTTATTCTATAGTACTGCTGATACAAAGTGACTGTAAAAGCTGTGATAGAGCAAGATAGCAGTACTCATTGTCTGATGTGTACTTATGCTGTTTCTATATTAGGAATGAGGATTTGACTAACCTGCTGTTGATTGGTAAAGTCCGTTATGAGACAGTAACTGTGATAATGTGACTGGTCGTTGAATGGAACAAACTTTGCAAAATTTGACCAATCGTTGTAGTTCTGATTACCAACATGATTAGCAACACTAATGAGGTCCAAGAAGGCATAAAAAGTGAATTAAAATGCTCACAGACTTACACATCAAGCATGACCCAAATGTCTTTGCTGTGACAAGCATTAACCAGGTCCTTAAGATCTTGCTCTGTACCAAAGTTAGGATTAATTTGAGTGATGTCCTGCTGCCAGTATCCGTGATATCCACCATCTGTCTGGAGCGGTATGGGTGATATCCATATTGCATTGGCTCCTAGTCCTTGTATGTAGTCCAGTTTCTGGATGATCCCTTTAAATGTCCCGCCACAGTATGTGCTCAAATCACTGCAGGCATTGCTATCATCAGTGTCTTTAGCAAAACGGTCAGTGAGCAACTATATATAATTCTAACATAAAAACCTTATTGCATCTTGATAGATTTTACTTGATATATGACCCTGCTTTTCCATTCGCTTGCAGAGTGTCCGTAGACGGCAGTGATCAAGAAGAGAGACAGAGCAGCCAACAGCAACTTCATCTTTGCAGCAATTTGCAATTGCAGAGGAGCAGACACACCTCCAGGGAAGGAGGTGCTTCCTTCATTTGGGGTGGAGGGAAAAAATGATGTCTCTTGAACACATGTCGCGTCTTCTCTTCAGGCAATCAGTTTCTCTGAGATCAATGACTGCAGCCTCAATGCGTCTCATGCAGTCGAGAACAAGTAATTTATAAAATTATACGTAGTGTAAAGTAATGATATTGATTGTAGCATCATCATGGGGATTGTATAAAATTAGTCTATATGTAATATATATATATGTATAATAATATTTTCTTTTTAATTTTTATTTAGTGTGTAATGCTAAAGATGATGTTAAATCGCAAGAGGCTTCCGAGGAGGCCCCAACGTTGAGCGAAGAACCAGCTGATCCAACTCAAAGTACAGTAACTATAAACGGCAAAGTCTGTCGGAGCCCAAAGGAAGCGAACACGAATCTCATAACTTTCCTAGAATGGTCTGACATGGAAAAACGTAAAAAAATTATCGATATCCCGTATTTTGTGGGCGGTAGCTACCTGAGGGTTACATTTGCTGATCCAGCCTCCGCGACGGGTCGTAACTCGTTTACTGGTATCTGTATAGCAAGGTCTAATAAAGGACTCGGGTCTGTTTTTACCTTACGCAATGTAATGCGGGGAGTGGCAGTCGAGAAAATGTTTGAATTATACTCACCAGGTCTCATTGAAATACAAGTAATGTAATGTGTCCACTGTACAAGATGATTTATTGGCGAGAGTAATATTTGGCAAATTTGCCTGTGGAAAGTCAAATGGCGAATTTTATATTGGTAATTTTATACCGCGCCCCATTGAGCATGCTCAGATCATGAAACAAAATGGTGGATTTTACATCGGTGATTTCTTCATTGGACCACCAATTGCCAATATTAATTCCTCTCCAATAAATCATCTTGTACAGTGTACTGCATTATTACTTTAATATTAATAATTTATAATTATTTTAGGTACTAAAGTTAGAAAGGAGGAATAAAGCTAAGCTCTATTACCTGAGGGAGAAACCGCTCAGATACAGCAGTGTAAAGGAAAATATGACTCCTGTGGACAGTGGAGGGAAATTACTGAAATATAGAAGAGCTCGTGGTGAACCAGCATAAATATAGACTACATGTGTATATAATAATAATAACAGTACTTAAGACTGTACAGTATTGGTCATGTTAGTTTGATGTGAATTATTTCTATCAGGAATAGGGTCAAATACATAATTGTAATTTAAAATGTGATAATAATGTTCTCATGTTTTGTAGAAAGTTTAAGCTGAAATTTTAAAGGCCAAAACCTCTATTTTGTCAAAAATGACTGGGAGAGAATTTTTTATTTTTATAATTTTCTCTGATGCATATACATGTTCTTATGTTGTTTCTAAATTTTGAGCTGATTCTGACCAAAATTGGATTTTTTATGAATTTTCAAAGTTGCTCTAAAATCGGGCCAAAGTCCCTGTACTATAGTACAGTGTCTTTGACCAAATTTTGTCCAAATTGGCTAGGTGAAAATTCTTCATTTTTATAATTTTCTCTGATACATATACATGTTCTTATTTTGTTTCTAAATTTTGAGCTGATTCTGACCAAAATTGAATTTTTTACAAATTTTGAAATTTGCTAAAAAACGGGACCTATTATATTATATATGAGTATAAGCACTACGCAACTTGTACTTGTGACAATGACAGTAACATTTCAGAATCAAAATAATGCTTTTTCTGATTTAAAAAAAATAGGATAAGAACTAATAATATCAGCTACACATTATTGTATAATTTGTGTTGTTTTGAGTACAAAAATGATGAGATATCAAAAAAATAAATAGACAAAAAAGAGAGAGAGAGGGAGGGAGTGTGTGCAAGGATCGTGACACCATTCAGTGAATAGATGATCTGGAGCGACTGAACTGCGACTGCTGCTGTTGTCCACTTCCTTCTCCTATTCTGAATCTCCCTGCAGTTTCTAAGTTCTGGAGTATCTCTCGCTCACTGTCTCTCGGCTCGTGTGACCTCCGTCTCACTCTAGGCCCTTCAGTCCCGACCACTCCAAAGGTCTGAGAATAAGAGTTCCGTCTGTTACGAATAACATACTCTTGAGTAGCGGCCATGGAGCCAAGGCTCCGCCTACCATGAGTCATGACAGGGACAGGAGCTGATGTTAGCATTCGTCTCAGCCAATGGTTACTGGAGGGATCTCCCTCAGAGAAACTGTGTCTATGGTGAGAGGCAGCGGAGTGTGGATGAAGGTGCTGCTGGTAGTTATGGAGGTGAGTGGGAGGCATGTCGAGAGGGGCAGGGTTAGTTTCGGGTGGTTGATGATGAAATAAGGCAAGAGGTAAGCTCTGAGAGGAGGAGGGGGGAGAGATCCTGTGCAAGAAAGGATTAGTGAACTGGGAGGAAGGAGGGGGAGGAGGAGGGAGAGAGGAAGGAGTGTTATCAGGATATATGAAGAGAGGAGGAGTGTGGGGTGACATTGGGCTCAGTGTGGTGGGTGAGGACGACAACCAACTAGCCAGTCCTGATGGACTAACCCGCTCAACAGGTATGGGCATTTGTGGAGTCGCTTGATGGTCCATAGTGAAGTGAAGTCTTGGGGCTGACATCTCAGTAACGTTAACTTGATGAGTACTGCTGTAATCGTCTTGATCTGGTACAAGGAACTCGCTCGCTGGAGATGATACTATCTCAGGTACAATCTGTACTGGCTCACGTGTTAATGTAAATGATCTATAAACAAAATAAAAAAATAATAAAGGTTTCAGCTATCAATACTAACATTTAATTACTAACACTAGTTTTTGTTATTGCACCAATATGGCTGTAATAATGATGATGGTAATAATTAATTAATAATGCATAACTAATACAGATTAATAATGAATTGAAAGCGTTAGAAGTTGAAGTTCATTGCCTGCGTACAATAACAAATCCTAATTACAATAACAACAATAATAAAAACAATAGGCATCTGTTTATGACAAAATATTTGCAAAGGAAAGTCTGTTAAATATTTTACCAGGAATTGAACGGAAATAGCTAAAGCTGTTATCGTCTTTCAAAACATGCTAGGCAGAGGATGTGGTAAATTTATGAAATATGCACAAAAAAGTGAATTAAACATTCACACAATACAGACACTACACAGACTAACCAGAATGGAATATTTCAAGAGGGAAATCACACGCTCCCTTATCAAATTATGAGTATAAATACAGTCAATGTACATAAACCAGCACACATGCCACATTCACACACAAAACAATATTGGGAGACTAATATATGCACGCATTACTCATGGTGTGGTTACATCACTCCATAATTGTTTCCCACTCAAAATATTTGTGGTAGGACTGCTTGTAACGTGTACATACTCGCAGCCAAATGAGATTACAATAAATAATTAATACAAAAATGACAGGAAATTGAACAAACAATATAAAGGAGACATGTAAAGAGATGAAGACAAACAGGATCCCACTGTTAGATCTAGAGGGATAAAAGGAAACTTTTGGTCCCCCATATTTGGTCCAAGTCTCCTGAAATCTACTATTTTGAGCTTCATATTTAGCCTAGATCTCTTAAAGGCTCCCATTTTTAGTTAGATCAGTCTCCCAAAATTAATTTCAACATGTGGATCTAAGAATGAGCATATCTTCATTTAATGTAGCATGAGTGGAGGATGAAGCTGTCTCTGGCTTACTAAAATGTAATTATTTGATTCAGTATGAGTACGTGTAGCATATCATGATATCAAAGCGTATAACAACAATAACAACCATGAAGACACACTTGGAATGACAAACAATACCAAATGGAGCCATAACAAGTCTTGTTGCTATTAACTAATCCTTAATTAAAGAAAACCATCAGTCCTCATACTGTAAATATTAGTGATAAATAAATCCTTACACAATCATTGACACATTTCAAGTATAAAAAATACATTGTACAACAAAAAGCTAAACAATAGTACCACCATTGTTATAGGAACAGTGCACACACACACACACACACACAAGATGGAGTATGGAGTACTTACATTCTTGATAGGATACTTTGAGTTGTTTCAGCAGCAGCAAGTGCTGTTAGCCTCTTCCTCTGATCCAATTCCATGAGTTCCTTTAATAAATACTGTGTCTCAATCGAAATCACTAGATCCCTAAATAATGCACATAAATATGTATTATCATCATCATTTTATTATTATCATTGTATGTTAGAAGGGAAGGGCGTGGTACATGTAAAACATGGCTGCCACATACTGTACATGTATTCAAAATAAGTAGAATGATGGTATAATATTAAAAAACTAACAATAAAAGAAATAATTATATAAAAAAGGTAAAGGACAAAAAAGATATTTTAAAAAATAATTACCTCGGAAGGACAAACTTTCCGCTTTTAATCTTTCTAAATAGTTCCTGTGGTATGTCATCGTAGTAAGGAAACTGTCCTGATATCATCGTGTACAGGAGGACTCCCAATGACCACATGTCACTAGGCATGCCATAATAAGGCTCACCTGCCAAGGAAAATGGGTATGGTTACCGTAGTGATGCCATGTTTCCATAGCATTTGTTATCATAATACACAATATTGAGGGTTGTTGCTAGGAGGGTATGAAAATTAATTTAAAAATGCTTTCATGTGTGCCATACATGTGCTAACCCAGCTACAATATAGTCTTCTCTAATAATGATGATAGTAATAATATAATATGAGGGTAAAGTGTCAGATACGGACACACTGCCCACATCACGGGCACTGCCAAAGGGTGTATTTAAAGGTTGAGGTAAGACTTAGCTGTGTCTGGAGTTGCACACAGAGTCATGGACATAATGTCACCAACTGGTAAACAATAGAGGCTTGTTTGTATACATAATTACTTGTATTATATAAGAGAGAGAGAGAGAGAGAGAGAGAGAGAGAGAGAGAATGTGTGTATGAAATAAAGAGAAAAGCTTGTATTTACCACTGATCACATCAGGACTGACATATGCCAAGCTCCCTCTTTGATCAGACAGTAGATCATCCTCATGTACCAAATGCTTTCCAAGAGCAAAGTTAGTTAAAAAGACTTGTTGTGTTCTGTACACAAGAAAATGGAAACACATTAATACAAGTGCAAGTTTACCAACCACCCTCTATCAATTTGTATAGCGTACCTCTTGTTAATGACAACGTTAGCCAGTTTAAGATCCCTGTGTACTATCTTTTTCTAAATTTATAAAAAGAATAGGAAGTGAAAAGAAAGAGAGATAGAGAGAGAGGGGGGGAAGGCAAAGAGAGAAGAGAGAGAGAGAGAGAGGGGGGAAGAATGGAGGAGAGAGGGAGAGAGAGAAGGAAGAAGAGTGGAGGAGAAAGGAAGGGAGAGAGAAGAAAGGGAGCACAGATGAATTACAATGAAAAAGGAAACTACATTCAGACACAACAGATACAGACAGAGGGGACATACCGTGACTCATCATAGAAATACATTCTCTGTTACTATCACAACTACCCATACACACTGTACTACCTTATACACACATTTTTATAATTATTATTTCACGATGCTGTTACTCCATGCATTATACTAGCGACTGTCTGCATGTTTAAACTTTTAAGTCACACTAAAATTGCATACTCTGCATTACTCCTTCACAGGCATCCTCTATTCAATACAATGTATCTCCTCCATCAATACATGAAATATATCCCATCATTATTATACCGTGTACTGTATGATCTAACATCATATCCACTCACCCGTTCACATTGCCATTAAAAAATGTACAACAAAACTTTCCCTGGTAAATATACAGTGCATTATTATACAGTATTGGCTCCAGCATCCCATGATTTGTATCTCAAATCAAAATGTCATATCCTACATCATTATATCATTACTATTTACTGCCAACACTTCATCATTACCAACCTTCCATATACACACACGATAGGGCCTATTCTGCAATCACCTTGCATCTATTACATTGCATTGTTGCTTCTCCTAATCAGAATTATGCTGCTTTATAAGGCATCACAGGAACCAAGGGTTCCATTTAATGTTTTTACTGTCATCATCCATGCCAAAACAATTAACAATAACTGAACCGATTCTCGTGTGGTGGCAGTAGTACATGTACATGATCCATTGGGTCTACAAAAACTGGTTCACATTTACACCAGAAATGGGATAGGGGAAGGTCTAACTGCAAAGGAAAGCTTGCACATTGTGAGTTCTGAGTAGCACTCGCATTATAAGAAATTTTGCATTAGCCGTTTACATTAATGATTCTTAATAAGTGTGTTGGGATTATTACTAGTAATACTGTATTACCAGGTAATGCTTTATCATCAGTACCTTGTGTATTTCTTTGACTATACAGACTAATTGATAGAAGAGTTGAAGTGCCTCCCGTTCAGGCAGTCTCCTCTCTTTAATGATATACTGCTGAAGATTAACAAAATCCTGTGAACAAAAACAATATGATATTGGATAATCAATACGGAAAACAAGTATTAAGTTATATATGGACAGACTTTAAATGGTCAAATTACAAAGACATTTTAATGACATAATAATAATAATATATGATATATGTGGCATACTTTGTATTGGTCAGTTGATCCATACTCGTGTTGATAAAGGCAATCCAGTACAAGGATGATATTGTTACCTTCCCTGTACAGCCCGTGCTGCTGTATGATTCCTATTTGATCTTGTAATAATGAGAGAATGGAGTGCTCATTGTGTATGAGGGACTTCCCTTGACTATCTTCAGGACTGTTACCTAGAGAGAGAGAGAGGGGGGGGAGAGAGAGACAAAGAGAGAGAGAGGGGGGAAGAGAGAGACAGAGAGAATCAATGCTATTTGTAAGAAGCTTATGTGTAATTTCTCTTTCACTACAATTAGATCTCTACATTATTATCCTGCACTCTAGGATATAATAAGCTTAGCTCCTAATATTGTATTATTAAGATAATGATTATTAAACCTGGATGAGTCACCACATAAAAGAGAACATATAGAAGTAGGAAACTATTAACAAGCTCCCCTTTGAAGACAAAGCACAATTAACCAGTGGCTTTTCCCCAATACTTTTGTGGCTGTCTCCACCACAGGAGACAGGAACTCTAGACCAGAGTTAGGGAAATGTTGCTTTAACCTTAAAACTTCATCACAGAAAAGGTTGATAAACCCTAAACAATAATGCTATTGGTAGGATTGACCTTCCTTGCATTGTAACCATTGGTAGAGTATCAGTTCATGTAATACAAATAATTTCTTTTCCTCCAATGTCAACCCACAATTTCATGTTCCATGATACACACCTTGCATCCCACACTAACCAAAAAACACACACACACAATACAAACGTATACAGTACAAATTATTGCTGGCTTTACTATGCATCATTACATAACCAATTCAAGAGGACACAAAGCTAGTGAAAAAGAAAACTTGAAAGCCACGCCTAAACAACTCAAAGGTGTCATAAAATATCAATTTCTTGTGCGTGACAAAGCATAAGTAATGTTGCATAACATATTGAAATCACAGAGCCTACAAAGAAGATGCTGTAGTTAGATAATAATGCAATCATTCAGACACTGACATTCAATCAGTGAGTCATTCATACACAACAAAAATAAAGAGCAACAACAAGGAAGCAACAATCACATCCTATAATACAACAGTGCCACTGGCCATTAGTGACTCACACACACACACAGACACACACATATACAGACACACACACACACACACACACACAAACACATATACACACACACAGACACACACACACACACACAAACACATCAACACAGACACATCAACAGTGTAATTTCATTACTAGCTAGCTGCCAGTCACTTCTGACTGTCAATAATACAAGAATGAAGATATTCCTTTGCAATACCATCAATGGAATACTGTATAGCATGACCTAACTCCACGTAGTCAGTCAGTAATTAGTATCAGTACATTCATACATTCATATTATACATATGTCAGCAAGTGATCAATGGGTATAGATGAACACACATACATACACACACTTATTATGTATACATCAGCAATGTTAACATTATACATAATGCACACACAGGTGCTTTTGTGCATACACACAATTATACATCTAGATACAGCACATAAGCATCAATACTGTTAATACATTATATACACAAACTAGCGAATCAGTAACTATATCATCATCATGTAGATCTATTGTTCCACACACCATCACATTCAATGTCTAACAATACTTTCAATTTATCAGCTTCACCATACACTATGTACAACAATAGCCGCCTTTTATACATGCATACCAACTACATGTACATGTGCATACCTCCAGGTGAGAGTGAGAGTATCTTCATGGTAACAAACTCGTCTCCATCGGTCTTCTTAGCAATATATTCACTGACACTCTTTACTGGGCTTGGACTCACTGTGTTAAGTCTGGGCCCGATATAATACTCGCCCGATTGGAGACCGTTTGTCAAGTGAAGCAAGTGGCCAAAAGGGGAGGATGATCGCCTTCTCTCTCGTCCACCATTAGTGGGTGCTTCTGTCTCGATGATAGCTGGTGTCGTGATGCTAGTTCCACTAGAGGCCATTGCTGTCTTCCATTTAAGAAGGTTGTTGTAATAGTCTTTTCTCTTTCCACTGGTTTTACTGCTACTGTTGTAGACTGAAGACATGTACACTCCTCTGTTGTGCCTGAAGTCAATCAGGGGACCGTTCTAAAGGGAAAAAGAACATTAATACTGCAAAAGCAGGCGATTCCACACATTATGCACACTAAAGAGTGGATGGGTCAATATTGTACCGTACAAAAGATGAACTGGTTGTCTGAAAGCATTTACAACGCAGCAAACAGCCAAGCGTGAGGACAATACTACAAAGCGTGAGCTCTAAGCAGACACTAGAGGCTATCAGTAATGACGCTTGATCTCTTGGGCTAGTCTTTTAAACACGATAGCAGTAGGAGAGGAGCATCAATGCTCAATGCCGGCCCTCTACCGGGTGTTATATCACCAGTAAAGAATGCAGATTTACCGGTAAAAGAGGTAATTGATTAGCTATCCTTGTACCTTCAAAATGAAACAGGTGGCTCTGCCGGGATACTCCTAGCCAAAGAGAGAGGGGCAACTCCAATGGCCCAGAATCAAACTCTGGCCAACTTTTGTTGAGGGAGTAGGAGGAGCCGGAGAGTTGTTAGGGCGGAGCTAGCTTTTGATGAGATTATTCAAAATTATGCATGTTGCTCATCATGATTATTTTAACACAAAAAATAATTACCAGTTCATAATTATGCTACAAAACTATCATCAGTTCCTATATTGCTTACCCCCACTACTCTCGCTGCCGCCAACACTGCTACTCCCTATGCTATTTCTTTTCTTTTTATCATCAAAGCTCTGGTCGTCCCCACTGCTTCTCCTGTGATGATGAGACGAGTGCTTTTTCTTCTTGTGATGATGGTGGGATGATGACGGAGATTTAGATCTTTTCTTATCTTTTTTCTTTGACGAACGACCCTCGCTCAGTGAGTCTCTCTTCTTTCCTGACTTGTGATGTTTTTTCTCGTCTAAACTCATGACAATTCGCTCGTACGAACCATCGCTCTGCGAAGAACCCGTCACACGCTCTTTCTCTTCCCACAAAAAGTCTTCCTCCTTCTTTGCCTCCATTTGCTTGAAGTCGCTGGAAAAATGATGATCATCTCTCCTTGATCTCTTGCTGTCTGATGATGAAGATCGCGATTGCTCTTTGCTTCTGGAAAAATGATGATCGTCTCTTCTTGATCTCTTGCTGTCTGATGATGAAGACCGAGATTGCTCTTTGCTTCTACTGGAGACGTGGCACTCATCAGAACTTTCTTTCTTGACCCTCTCAGTCTCTGTTGGTACTGAATGCTTGCTCTTCTGACTCTTGTGAATGTTAACAGAATAATCAAAATGATCCCTTTCATCTACATTAACTTTTACTTTCTCTATTTTCAATGTGGGTTGTCTCATATTTCCAAGACCACTAGGATAATGATAATCATCAAACTTAGAGTGTTCTTTCTTTACTACAGGCAAGGCAGATATTGCTTGAATGCTACCAGGATGATGCCTAGTGGTCTCTGCTTCTAATTCAGACTTTTTGCTTTTCTGGTGACTGGTGGCATGATGGCGTTCGCCCGTCTTCCATTCTTCTTTCTTTGTTTGCTTTGTGTCAATAGCCAACAAGGCTGGCTTCTTGGTTTTATGGGAATCGCTCAAGTGATGGTCTTTCTCTAACTGATCAACCGATTCTTCAAATCCTGACTTCATCCTCTCTAAATCTAAGGGGGTGAACTTGCTCTTCTTGCTCTTCTGCTGGAAAGACAATGAGCTTTTGGTAGAAGAAGGCTTTCCTGTTTCTTTCCCAACATCTAAATCATCATCAGAGATGTCAGATCCATACAAAGTGTCCAGACCTATCAGAGATAAGTACAACCAGTAATCAACTAGTCATAGAGTATGTGTACAAATGAGATTGATTGTACATGTACATAGAGTGTCAAGTATAAATTACACAAGTGTGAGTAGTTTTACCATATTGCCAAGTAATCCCATGCAATCTATTTCAATAAGCAAATGGTTTCATCTTACCTAATGGGTTGCTTAAATTTGCGCGGGAAACCTCGTCTGAAGCAATGTTTGACGAGTCTAAAAATAAAAAAAATAAATAAAAAAGACAAACAGTACTAATCTATTGTACACAGACACAAACAAACAGGCTACACATGCCAGGAAGGAAACATACACAAAACATGAAAAGAGATATTTACAGGAAGCAATAACACAAGGGATACCACCTACCACCAATAATAATAATATTAACATCAAAATAATTATATTACAATCACGTAGATGTAATTATACCTCAGTGTCACAAATACTCACGCATGCACACATGAATGAATGAGGGTATTTGTACAACACATACAACACCTTATGTAGTACTATTTATATATACACAGTGTACTACACACATACACACTATTATTAGTTTATTACACACGTATAGCGTATATGTGTCAATGTAGTACATGTCCATAATTATTGTGAGTCCATAGTGTAGTTGGTGTAAGTCATTAATATACACATGCCAAACTGATAAGATAACAAACACGCGAACATCATGTCATCATGAGAGCCAAAACTATCAACAAGCAGCGATCAGCAAATAATAATAATTATTATTATTATCTTATGTTACAATATTTAGTCTATAATAGTCAAAATAAGATGACTATTATACATGTACTGTACATACAAATAAAAATTGGAATATACAGTATTAAGTACATGTACATGTACATTGTATGTACATGTACATGCACATGTACTTATGTGCATAACTAATAATTTGAAGGAATGCATGTAGACTGTCTGTAGAGCTTCTCTATTCCAGTAACTCGATGCTTTTATGAATACATTATTATTGATTATAAGAAATAAGAGAATTCCGAGATAATGAACAATAATGATTTATACAGCTAGTATATAGCCATTCATAATAAGATAATGATAATAATAACATTAAATGTTCCATGAAACTGGCCACAAAATACAAAGAATAGCAATAACCAGCAGATTCCAAGCTACAAGCATAAGTGCATGTAATACAGTATATTAGTATATTATATGAGGAGTGCCAATCGCAGATATGTGTAATACACATTCCAGTATAATTATTAGTATATTATTAGTATATTCTTATCTATTTGTATATTACTTATATATTAGTATATTATTAGTATATTAGCATATATTAGTATAATTTAGTATTAGGATATTACTAGTATATTCCAGTATATCAGCATATTAGTCAATCACGAGGTGCTTTCCTCCTACTCTTTACGTGAGAGCAAATGTACATGTTTATTGATTATACCCAGTTGGAGATTGTGAGTAATTAGTGCGTGCATGTACCTCCTAATTTATTAATGATCTCATTGGCAAGTGAGTACATTTCTGATGTCGTCACGTCTAATAGGATTTCTGTTAACGTACGCCTCACAAATGCCATCTGATGGGAAGAAAGCAAGAAGAAAATATCATTATTATTATTATTATTGAAAGATATTATGAGAGGAAGGAAGTGAGTGAATGAGAGAGAGAGAGGGGAAATTAATGATGTAGCAATAGAGGAGGAGGAAGAGGATGGAGGAAGGAAGAGAGGTACAGAAGAATACAGAGAGGGAGAAGTATAGAGAATGAAGCATGATGATAATAATAATAATGGAAAGCAGTCATCAATTTTTCATTTCCATTCAAAACATGTTTTGACTCTGTCCTGGTGACAATTGGGGATGAACAAAGCAATAAGGTATATCCTATACATAAGGCTACCAACCACAACCCACACACACACTGTAATGTACATGAGCACAATAGACTGTACTATAAGAACACTGTACTGTGAGCACACTGGACTGCAATATGGTGTGCATATCAGTACTGTACAATGGAATCCATATAGAGGGACTCTTGGGACCAAGCTATCAGGAGTATCAAGCCACACTTTGAGATCAGGCCCACCACACCCACACTATTGTAAGGCTTTGGATGTGTTTGAATATCCCATGCAGTTTAATAGTAGTGAACAAGTGAGAAGTTTTATACATGCATGGTTGGGTAATAGATAGGGCCTGGTTGGTACTATATACACAGAGGGATGGGGTAGGTGAAGAGGCTTCACTTTGGAGTACACAAGGCAATGAATATGATCTACTATTCTAATCAAAGCCTGAGATCATGACAATATAAACTGAACATCATGCTACCAGTGAAGTCACTGATTTCATATTGATAGCAAAGAGGATCATTTTACTGGTACATTGGAAAATGAGAGAGAGAGAAAGAGAAAGAAATGAGCTCCATTCATACCTTTAGAGTGTGGTCACTCTCCTCAACAGCATCTTCTTCAAGTCTTTGATGCTTTGATGATATTTCAGTGGAAGAATACTGCATAATATAACACAACATGTACATATATGTCACACACACAAATACATACATGTACATGTGTCACAATACAGCATCAAAAAATACAATAACACGTGAAAAGTGCTAAAAAGTGAAAAATAAAAAATATTGAAGCCTACAAAACATGTAACACGTGAGACAGTTACCATTAGATTGAAAGTGACATTTGTACATGTAAAGTAAATCTATGGATATTGGTATAAGTAGGTGTTGTCTGAATAAAATAAACGTTACACGCTGTGGCTGAAAGGCACAAGACTACACGCAATCAAGGGCAAGGAGCCATGATTAAAATGAAACTAGGAATGATACATCAACCAATGCAATCCCAAGGCTTAAGAGAAAGTTAAAGAATAAAGAGTTGCTGTTACACATATTCAGTGATTGCTGGCCCATCATTACGAAACATGTAGACGTTTTTCGAGACGATTATGTAATGCATTGGCAAGTGAAAGTTTTGATGAAATCATCAAAAGTTTGAAGTTTGGCATAAAATCCTTGGCCACATCCTGGAGCATAAAGCAAGTGTTGGTGGCAACAGCTGGAATGTTATGTTTATCATGACATCTTGACCAAAACTGCTATACTTAATTTCCTATCAACAACTTCCTATAATTATGGGATAATAATTACAATAATAACAATCATCATCATTCATGAGCATATAATGCATTTCTTCATAAACTGGATCAGTAAATGAAACCTGAAAAGGATACAGAAACACTAACACAGGATAAGAGAATTTAAAATATTGATCCTCAGACAATGTCCTCTCTCATCTATCCCATATTACATAAGTGACAGTATAGTAATGAATTCTATTTTATAATTGTACACGACCAATGCAAGGTTCATTATTAGGAGCTATAATATTGCAGAAAGCTATTTTTAAAGGTATATTATTTTTAAAGGTATGCTTGTTCTGATGAGCAGCTTAAACAGTGATGTCATACATTTACCTTGACACTACATGAATTTAAAATGGGGAATAATGGAAGTACTACAATACACAATACTATGATTACTCATATAATAATGAGTATTCATTGGAGCATGTGCATGCACAAAAAATAATGATTAAAAACACTGTGCATAGATGAAAATATCATCTATGCACACTACAAGTTGTTGGGCTACAACAAATACAATATAAATTATAAATAATTTTAGGACCAGTCCTTTACAGTGAAAGAGATAATCCAAATCATCATTCTTAGCAACTGCTAGTACCAGACTACCAGTAGTACTGAATGAAACTAAAAGTAACAAGGGAAAACCACCTAGCAAATTCTCCCTTAATATGTACATGTACATTACAGTGTACAGTGTACCATCAACTCACTCCATTGGTTTGTGTGAAGACTATAACTAACTTACAGTATGAGGTGATAGGCTCCTCTTCCTATTATGACTAACATCTTCAATATCTTTCCTCTCCCTACCTTCCTCCTCCTCATCGTTCTCTTCCATCCATTTTGAGCCAGAGGATGCTTTGCTCTTGACGCTCCTAGAGGAGCTCTTGCCTCCAGTCATTGCCTCTTCCTTGGATTTCTTCCTCTCCATTCTCTCCAGCTCTGCTTTGAGCCATTTTGGTAACACCTTCTGTTGGAGGTCACCTAAAATAAAATAATATTTCAGTAATTCCATTTGCTTCACTCTGTCACCATGGTTGTGAAGTTTAAATAAATACATAAATATATAAATCATCTGTAGGTCAAAATGTAAGCATCAATTGCTGTCCATGAATTTCCATGAGAATATAATCTACAACCATTAAAAGATAATGTGTCCACAATACTGACTGAATAAATTCCACTTTGATCATTCTTATACAAGACTTGCTTGCTACACAGTACAAGAACTATAATAATTCCGCCGGTGGACTATTTTAGGAAAACAAGAGTCAAACAACACCTGTCAAGTTCCATAAATTACATAACACATACTCAGAAAAAATTAATAATAAATAATAACTGCATGCAAATTGCACCATAATATGATAATAATACTACTCTGCTGCTGCGTGTAGCACCCATAACAAAAGGAAACATAAAGAAGGTACATGTGCATGTTCTACATTGCTCAACATTTAATAGAATGATGTCAGTGCCCACTCTCACCACATAACTACATTACTACAGCACCCGACCAGGAGGACACCTGCAATGGATTGCTGCAGTGCCTGGGGGTGATGTCACACAGCTTACATGTATCTGTCGTGAGAGGAATAATGATAACAATAAACAACAAAGAATGATGCAAGGCTGATCAGGAGAGACTACAATAGAGGCTATAGTACAGGGTTTCCCACAGGATTTTGGCATAGTGCTTTACATTTTTTACTCAGCAAAGCATCACTTACAATAATACAGAATTTTCCATTTTTATAATTTCTCTGATGCATACGCATGCATAGAAATTTTGAGCTAATTCCGATCAAAAATCGAACTTTTAAAGGTGCTCAAAAATCTGAATGAAATCCCTGTACTATAGTACATTGTCTCAGGTCCAGATTCACCAAAATGGAAAAGGAGAGAATTTGCCATTTTTATATTTTTTCTGATGCATATACATGTACTTATGTTGTGTAGAAAGTTTGAACAGATTCCAATCAAATTTGAATTTTTTATGAAATTTAAAAGTTATTTAAAAATCGGTCGAAAGACCCTGTACTATAGTACAGGGCCTTTGGCCAAATTTTGTGAAAAATAGCTAGGCAATTTTTTTCCATTTTTATAATTTTTTTCTGATACATATACACGTTCTTATGTTGTGTAGCAAGTTTGAATGGATTCCAATCAAATTTGAATTTTTTATGAATTTTTGAAGTTGCCCCAAAAGCCATATACATGTACATGTACTTAGTTGAGTATGTAAAAACTTAGACTGCTGGTATTTGTACAGTAAACACTAATCAAGATTACCAGTCTATGTAGATATTATACAAAATTGGGTATAGAGGTCAACTAGAACCATTTCAAAGAGAATCAGTTATGTTAGGAATGATGCTAGACCAGTGATATCATGATCCATCAGCATGAGGTCATAAGAAGAAAAAAATGTTTTTAAAGGTAACAAATCTTAGGGCTCTTCCAAGAAATGTTTATAATACTATTTGATACTCTCCAAACACAATAGACACACCAAGAGGCTATCACAATTCACAATGCAAGCTTTATCAACTAGAGTTCTTGGAAGCAGTACCATTATTCATTGCTGAGGTACATGTACATGTAGCTGTAAGCTTCAAGGAGCATATACATGTACATGTACAGTGTACATGTATTTAGAAAATTCAATAAAACAATTTCAAGGAAAGTATCATATGGAGCACTCCAGAGTTTGAAAATGGCATGTTTTATGATTTGTCACAGACATCCATGACTAAAAAAATTGTAATCAAAATTGAATCAAAACTTTCTACAAGGCTAACCTGGAGCATCATAAGAAAAGTCATAATGAACAGCACATGAACTATCTTCAGCACTAAATTATAACTTTTAGTCTTTTACTTAGATGTATAGATCATGTGGACAAGTGAGTCTGTTTATACAAAGGGTGCATGACCTCCCAAAAAAGACAAGTGCTGGACTACATGTACATGTACCTCTACCTTAATATGCTTTACATTAATTACACTACAGTGGCTGTAGACTATCAGTGGATAGATAACTTACTTAGAGCATAATTGAGTAATCCAACCTGTTCTCCTCCAAGCCCAAGTTCCTGTTGTTTATAGTATGATTTCAGTGCATCATATTGCAATAGTTCAGTGTTGGTAGACTCTGTAGCTCCTTTGCCATGACCATAATCCACTGACTGCATGTTTTCAAGTAACGAGGACCCGGTATTGTCCCAATAATCTGAGACCCCCTGGGATTTATAGTCTGACATGACTTGCTGGTAGTCTTTTGCTGGATAATCTTGTTCAAAAAATTCCGGTCTTTCATAATCTCTGCCATAACCTTTAGCTTCAGACGACCTTTCAAAACCAGCAGGATCCATTTGTAATCTATCATAATCAGGGACCCTTTTTGACTGTTCATAATCAGAGGCCATTCTTGACCTTTCATAATCTCTTGACCTTTCATAGTCAGGGCCCATCCGTGACCTTTCATAATCAGGAGGGATTCTTGACCTTTCATATTCTCTTGACCTTTCATAGTCGGGGTTCATCTGTGACCTTTCATACTCGGGAGGTAATCTTGACCTTTCATAGTCGGGGGCCATTCGTGATCTTTCATATTCAGGAGGCATTCTTGACCTTTCGTAGTCAGGGATCATTTGTGACCTTTCAGGAGGTCCTTGTGACCTTTCAAAATCACGGGCTCTCTGTGGCGGCCTTTCATACTCTGCAGCTCTTCTTTCATACTCCATATTCTCACGTGGCCTCAAATCAAACTCTTCATTATACCGAGGCTGTGATCTTCTCTCGCTATCGTAGGGCACTCGAGATGATGGCGAATGATAGTCAGTATCAGGATAACGTGACCTTGGCTCATCGAACGGGATTCGTGGGCGGTCATCAAAGCCACGAGGAGGACCAGAGTGCTCAAAATCAGGATTGATATGCGGCTCCCTTTTATGAGGAGGGTAGGAAGAGGGAGGAGTCAGTGAGCGATGGAAAGGTGACCGAGAGAAAGAACGAGGAGGACGATGGATAGCTCCTCTGTCAGTAAACTGCTCTTGAGGTGTGAACATGTTCAAAGATTGAGTATCATTCCAGTCATGTGGTGGCTTCCCGTATGCTCCTTTAAAACCATCAAAATCTCTAGCATTATCTTCCCTTGGTTGGCTTCTATCGTCACTCCTCTGTGGGTGGGGCTGACTGGCCTTAGCTTCATCATCATCACTGTCACTCTCATTCTCTAGCAGTGCAGCCATTTTGTTTTTAGTGTCCTTATAGCCTGGATCATCCTCTTCCTCCTCTTTGCTGCTCATGTTAGTCGTACTACTACTGATATTAGTACTACTGACATTAGTACTCTTGATTGGAGCTGATCTTAACACTTTGAGCTGATCTACAATCTTTCCAAGTGATTGGATCATGATCATGTTAGTGCCACTATCACTCGCGTCGCTCTTCTTGTTGCTAGTTTGTGATTTTTGTGGCTGTTGCTTTTCTTCTCCTCCTCCTCCTTTCTCTCCATCTTGTTCGGTCTTATTGCTTCCTTCCACAAGATCCAGTCCTGGTATCTTCCTATCATTCACTGGGGTCGTCACAACTGGAATAAAAAGGAGCAAAAAGTAAATTAGAATGTACTTTCGTCATTAATAATAATATTTTAACGTGTTATTTGAAACTAATAAAATATTAAAAATGGAAAATGCCCTTCTACTAGTACAAATAATTATGTCCATTCATTATATACATACCTAAATCAAGAGTGCCATCGTCCGTATGTTCATCTATAGGATTACTAGCAACTTCCTCTGGGCCCTCTTGTGGTAATTCATCTTGTACTCCTCCTTGTTCAGCTACTTCTTGGTCTTGTTGTATGACTGGTAACTGAACATCATCAGTCTTCCCTGATTTAAGTTCATTATCATTGCTAGTATTAGTGTGTAACAGTGTCTGAAGTGATGATTTAACAAGCTGCTCCCTAGAAGAAGGCTTTTTATTGCCTGGATAAAATAAAGGGCTCGGGCTGGAAGAAGAGGCATACCCTCGGGTTGGTGTTTGGTTTGCCAAAGGAATGCTAGCAGCAATAGGAGATGCATGTAATGGCTGGGAGGGATGACACAATGGGTGCTGATCATGAGGGGAAGGAGGAGGAGCGTGAGAGGGGGAGGCATGTGGATGGGCAGGGAACTGGTTCTGTCTGGGCAAAGGAGGGTGCCTCATTATAGGAGGGCCTGCTCGAGGCCCAGGCCTTGGTGACATGTGAGGAGGAGGACGGACCCCCTGGGAAGGAGGACGTAACATCGGACGTGACCCTGGTAAACGGGGCAGTAACCCTTGAGGAGGACGTGAATCATGTAAGGAAGAAGGATATGGTGATGAGACTTGTGGTGGATGTCCTCCTTGTGATGGATATCCTTGTGGCAGATGTGATCCTTGCAATGATGGATGAGATCCTTGCTGTGATGGAAGTGGATGAGATCCTTGAGGCAGTGGGTGAGATCCTTGCTGTGATGAAAGTCTTCCTTGTAATTGTGGATGAGATCCTTGCTGTGATGGCGGATGAGGTCCTTGTGACTGTGAATGTGTTCCTTGTGGTGGAGGCTGTTGCTGCATGTGTGCTGAAGGATGAGCTGATGGATTGTGTGGTGGACGGAAGAGAGAGTGTTGAGGAAGACTACCAGGAGACTGTCCTGCTGCTGCTGCTGCTCCTGTCATCAGTGGATTGTGTGGTGTTGGTAGAAGTGAGGCTTGATTACTAGGAGAAGGGACCACTCCTAGTTGCTGTGGATAGGATGAGCCTTGAGACAACATGTGAGGATTAGAGGGAGGAGGAGGAGGATAGCCCTGGGCATAATGTACAGGAGGACCAACTTGATTATAAGAGTACTGTTGTTGTTGTTGTAGTTGTTGTTGTTGTTGTTGTAGTTGTTGTTGTTGTTGTTGATATTGAGCGTAATATTGATACTGGAGCTGTTGCTGTTGCATTAGTTGCTGCTGCTGTAGCTCAATGACTTGACGTTGCTTAGCCCATTCGGCTGCTTTAGCTGCCCAATCTGAAAATTAATAAAATAAATGAAATAATTGTTAACAAATAAGTATAATAATGACAGCAACATAATTATAGTATAGAGTATAGTTCATGTTCATGTTGTATTAATGCTAAAGGAGAATCCATTTTAGTAAGTGTAAATTATTAAACTATTACAAAAATTATCAGAATCGAGAAAGTACATTGTACATGTACTACAGTGAAAATACATAACATTTACTATTAATAATAATTAAAAAGAGTCAAACACACAAACTGATGCTCCTCTTACCAGCTCCTCCTGTTTCTGATGACTGGGTTGATGTCTGTGACTGAGGAGTCCCAGTGACATTGGAAGCAGCAACAGCTTGAGGCTGACCAGGAGCAACAACATGAGCAGGAGGCTGGCCGGGCTGGACGTAATACTGTGGCTGCCCAGCCCACATTAGTAGACTATAAATAAACTCGTTGTCATGTTTATAATTTTATAATTTTTATTAAGGCCATTCCAATTAGGCTCATTGTTTATTCTTACCCGCCCACACATCAGTAATTAATTATTTAACTATTCATATCCTATATACATAAATTTTAATTACGATTAATTTTAAATAAATATTAATGAACCCACCTGTGAAAAAAGAAAAATGATTACATGTATTTAGTACTACATTTCAAAAATATAATAATCAACAAAAAGTTACGGTAAAAATTTAAAAAGCAAATACTTAGCAAATACCATTAACTGCAGTAATTGTAATTAATTAATCAACTAACAATGACGTCACAAATGAAGGAGCAATTAAGATTCTACTAAACGTGACAATTATGTCAAATTTTAACCACATAACACAAAATACATACTATCACTTAATAGAGACAATAAAAGCTTAGGAACTCACTCAAAGAAAGTAAATAAATCAAAGAAACTCGACACAAACTTCAAGACAAGATCTTGCACTATAAATGCACGTGAAGCCTTCTCTAATAATACGAATGGGTGTGGGTATCTAATGTCCTAATTATTCGGCTTTAAAATAATTTTAAAAATAGGAGTGGTTTTTAGAGTGTTTTCAAAATGGCAGCTGTTTTTCTCCGCTCTTCTTCTCGCCTTATAAGCTCTTCTCTCTGGAAAAGAGGCTCCCCTAAGAGCGCCTCCAATTATGCTCAGATGGTTCTAGACGGTGAATCGCACGCTGTAAAAACAACCACACAATGGAAGCTCATATCTCTCCTTATTGCTGTCCCCGGAATGCTTTTTGTTGCCAGGAAGGCGTACAGGGCTGAACAGGATCACCATCATCATATCGAGGAGCACGGTCGTCCTGAGTTCCTGCCTTACCCTCATTTAAGGATCAGGTCTAAGCCGTTCCCTTGGGGCGATGGTAATCACTCCCTCTTTCACAATCCAGAAACCAACGCACTACCTGAAGGCTACGAGGATTAGATAAATAAATGGAAAAAAGAGACAGCAAACATTAAGTAGTGTAGCAATTTATTAGTTATAAAATTTACTTAATTAATTCATAATTTTGTTAATAAATAAAAATTAATTTAAAAAATCAATAAAATTTTAGCCCAGCCCCTTTTAAAGATGGCTTCCAATGAGGATGAATTTCTAGCTCCTCCAAGAAGACCCTCAGTGGGATATCAGCGACTGATATCATGGGAGCTATCCCAGGTGCAGGACTATTTGACTGAGGCTACTAAGCCTCAAAAGAAAAATAAGAAAAGAGCTCCTTCCAGATCAACAGAAGAGGCTGTGGAAGACCCATCCTCTCCAGGCCCCACTGATGATGGGGTATACCTAGTTACTAATAGTGACGGGGAGGAAGAGATATATTATTCAGCTCCTCAGTCTCCTTTGCCTAGCGATGATGATGCTACTATAGTCTCTGATGCAAGTACAGAATCATCGCTACTTCAATTTGATTCTAGTTTAGTCCCATCGCATAAGAAACAGAGCAAGTTAGTGTCTTGCTTTACTGCATTATAGTATTTACTGCATTATTATGCTTTTTTGGGTATTATAGAAAGATCATAACTTTAATAAAATATATTTTATCAATGATTTAAATTTAATGTCATTATGCCCCTTTTAAATATTAAACATTTTATTGTACTTAAATTTTTCTATGTTTAGAAGAGGGAGAATTGCATTAAATGCACAACACAATTAACCACATCCAATAAGTTTTATAGTTTCTTTTTCTACTAGATCATCTAAAAAGAAGAAGAAAGATCGTAGGAAGATTCAGCGAATGATGCGTTCAGATTTTTTCCAGCCGCTCTGTGATCTCATTGACGATGTTGTCAGCATTGATGTTAATGACATGGAGCTTGCCAATAAAACAACTGTACTCTCTCTTTCGGAAATATGTCTCAGAGCTATCAAGAAAATGCCATTAGGTATGATTATAATAATGGATTGGGATTTTAGACGAATTGATGTTTGTGTGCCGTTTATTTTAGCTCAAATGGAGATGCAGCTGCCATTCTTAATCACAAGCCTCGTGGGTCACAATAGACATCTTAGTGGTATAGTGTCCAGTCACGTCCAATGGCTAGAGAAACTGCTCGCTGATGTTGAGAAGACGCTATTGGAAGATGAAGTTGAAATGAAAAAGAGAAGCAAGGACTCTTCTTTGAAGGAGTTGAAATGCATTTATGAATTCGTGGTCCCCTGGGATACTCAATTCAGGCATGTTTTATGTACAGTGATTTTCCTTAAACTTGCATGAAAGGCAAGCAGAAATGTGTTATGCACATGCTCTGCTGTGGTCAGGAATAAAATGGATGCACCTACCATATAACCACTTAATTTCGAGGGTACAACTTTTGCTGTTTTCGCGGATTTTCTGTATTCGCGAAAGTTAATTCCGTGAAGTATCTGTATTGCCCATAAACACGTGTGCTTTAAAACAGGAACCGCGAAAGTTAATTCACGAAAAAAGACTTGTGGCCTGATTCGCGAAAGTTTATTGCCTCGAAACTTTGTGGCTATACGGTACTTAATACCGACCACAACAGAGCATGTGCATAACACATTTCTGCTTGCCTATCATGCAAGTTTAAGGAAAATCACTGTATATATATTTTTTAATTTTTATTGTAGACCCATTTCTGCTAATGAATTTACAACTGAAGGATATCACTGCCCTCTTCCCTACCAATCAAGAGAAATAGACAATTACCAAACTCACAGTCACTACTGTACCGAGGGAGGTCTCTTGGGTGTCCTCTTCCACTATGCCAATTACTTTTATCCCGTGGCCCTCAATGAGGACATCAGTAAGAGATGCTCCCTATCCACTAAGAGCAGTGACACTGCTTTGGAGCAGATACAGAGAGTTGCTATTGAGAGAGTTAACTATTGGATCAAAATAAGGTGGGGGCAATCAATTTGGGTAATTTAATAATCTGGAGATTTTAATCACAAAAATCATCACTGTATTTATTTATGATAGAAAATTAGGAATAGTCACTGGCATTATACCAAGAGTACACGTACATGTACTCTTGATTATATCTAAAGCGTTTCCATTATTATATTATATTATTATTTTTAGGTATAGTAAGATTTCATTTGTGTACTCAAAGTTTTTCAAGTTGTGGCCTGCTTATGTTCACTGGGCTAGAGGGAACTTTCATCTTGCTGCTAATGACTTTGCTTCTATTCTAGACTCATTTGAAGGTCAGTAAATTGTACACACACACACACACACACACACACATACTTGATAAACTTGCCTTTTATTCATAAAGGTTTTGAGAAAGCAGCAATATTGAACGAAATGGCAAGAATGCTTGTTCATTCTGGCGATCGTCATCTTGCTAGCACTGCGTTTAACAAGAGCCAGGAAGTTGAGCTCCCATCGAAGGATCAACCACTAAAATATGAGCCAGCACTGGTAAGACATCCCAACCAACAGGTTTAGTTTTAGTTCAAGTAACATATAATTTTATTATTATTTGTTATTCCTTTGTCTTATTCTTTATTATTCTTATTGTATAATTATTATCATTGCTCTTATTATTAATATTATCAAGAGTACTATTATTATCTGCACATGTACATGTACAGGTAAGAGCTTGCTACTTGGCATTGCAAGCTGGAGTCTGGGACACTGGGTAAGAAGAAGTTAATGTATTGTATTATCATAGCTACCACTGATGTACCTCTAGTGTATTGGACGAGGAGTCTGCTTCTAAAGCTAAGAGTAGCTGGGAATGGTTCCTTAAGCAATCGAATGATGTTCCTACAAATGTTTGGTTTCTGCATGTTGCTGCTGTTGAGTCAAGACTGAGAGTACATGCTGGGAGATGTGTGCCTGACTCTACTCCTGATACTAAGACTAGAGCAGGTTGATCAATATATAGATACTTTGCTATTGATTATAAGTAATAATGTGTGGCCATTGTATACATTTCATTAATGCTGAGTAGAAAATTAGTAATAGTTCACTTTAAATAATTATTGCTCTTTTATATCTTTAGTGGAGAAGAGTGTTGTCAAGCAATGGTTAGATGATTGTGAGAAATTGATAAAATCCAATGATATAGTGGTGCTGTTCCCTGTCCTTAATTACCATCTGTCACTGGTGTATGCACTGGCTGGAAAGAAGCATGAATCAAGGAAAGCATTTGATCATTATAACTCAAAGTATGTCATATTATACATTTGTAATTGTTTTACTGACCTAATGCCCATGGTTTTTTCCAAAAAATGGCTCCAAAATAACCCCCAATTTGTATTACATTTTCTGATACATTAATATTAATCTACTTATGCTATATAAAAAATTTGAGCCAATTCCGACTTCAATTTTTGAGTTATGGTGACAAGTCATTTTTGAGTTATGAGTATGCCCCACAACAATAGCAGAGATACATGTATACTTTAGATGATGCCAAATACTGTTACCCTACTCAGTAACTAGTATTAGCACTTTTTAAATTTTGTAGCTTTGCTAGTTTTCATAATTGGGATATGGAGGGCCTACCCGGTCAGGTATCAGAGCCAGTCAATCTCCCTCAACACCAGTATGCTCATCCCTGGAGGAATCTCTTCACTCTAATGACAGGGCCTCCCCCTATACTTCCTATACACTGGAGGGTACAGCTATTGCACTCGCATCAGCCCTACCTAAGGTACTAGGGAGATAAAAGTGCTTGGACATTATGAATTGTGTGTGTATTTTGTGTAGAACTGAAGAAGTAGCTGATTGTGCTCCTCGTCATAATCTTAATCTCAGATTAACAACTGAGGGTGACTTGACTGGTGACATGCTAATGGAACTGCCTCCACTGAGAGCTGTTATACTCAACCCTTACAATGGGTCAGTGACTCCGTACTAGTATATAAGGAGTATACAAGTTGTTTGATATGCATTTACATGTGCTTTATTTTTAAAAGCAAGATTTGTTGCTATAAAATTTGTAATTTGCTGCTTAGTAGTGACAATGAATGCTCTATTGTTAGCTGATTGGTGTTGTATTTATTTAATAGGAGCATTCAATTTAAGCGAGAGGCTTCACTTCAACATTATTTTATCACTGATAATTATTGTAAGCTGTTGTCATACCATATTCATCTTCATCTCTTGTCTCCCCATACTTCTCTTCTTCTATTCCTTTGTAACTCTTCCTTTCTTTCATTTGTCTTTTTTTATTCATTCCTCTTTTTTTAACTTTTTTTCAGGTTCAAATATAACTCTATCAAACTTTCCCTATCCTTTGAGACTATTTGAGTCATCCCAGTCCGTCATAGAGCTATCTTTAGGTAACAGGACTTGCATTAGTGGCCTCCATAACAGCATGGTTGCTAACTATATGGCTGTATTGCACTGGTATGGTACTGATGGGTCACACCACAAGGTTGATATAAGGAAACTGATAAGGAGGAGATACAAAGAAGTACGCTATAAGATTGGACAATCAGAAATGCACACATGAATTTTTGACTTGGTCAAAGATTCCAATATCTCACAAAGTCTAAATCTGAATTACATGTAATTATAACTTTCTACTCTTATTTTAGGAACTATTAAAAGACCTTAAGTTGCGTATTGACCTTACAGACACTGAAGAAGATATAATGAAGCGTCTTAATAAGAAAATGGAGATGGGTTTGAAGCTCTCACCACATGATGTAAGTTAATGAATGAATTGTACTGAGTGCTTCAAGTGTCAATATAAACTATTCAATGGAACTAATAATCGTAGAAAGTCTATTGAGCCAGACTTACCCATCAAGTATTACTCAGCACTCAGCTATGAAGTTTTGCTGTATTTGAGTATACATTGTACAATGCTGATACAATTGATTAGTGCTTTCTATGATACTGATATATTTTATGCTCTAGATATTTTACAAAAAGCAAAATCGAAGCCTATCAACCTCTGAACAATTTCAGCTCCTATTGACCTCATCTTTTATTTATGGAAAAGGAACGTTGCTATTGGCATTCAAACTGTCTGCAAACAATCCTGATGTGTTAGTGGTAAGTTGTAATAGTGTAGGATGCATTTTATGAATGACTCAAAGAA